AAAGTGGCTGAGTCTTTGCTGTGGAACAGCATGAGGGAAAAGGATGATAATGAAAATAAAATAAAATAAAAATGAAAATAAAAATAAGAATAAATGAAAATAAGAATAAAAATAAGAATAAAAATAAGAATAAAAATAAGAATAAAAATAAGAATTAAAATAAAAATAAAAATGAAAATAAGAAGAAGAAAGGAAAAGGAAAAGGAAAAGAAAAAGAAAAAGGAAAATATCCCTTCACTGGCCATGGAAGCCACCTCTTCACTGGCCACGGAGGCCACCCTTTCACTGGCCACAGAGGTCACTGAGGCCACCCCTTCTCCGGCCACTGGGGCAATCCCTTTTCTGGCCACTGAGGCCACCCATTCACTGGCCATGGAGGCCATCCCTTTACTGGCCACAGAGGCCGCCTCACTCCAGCCACTTCTTCACCGGCCACTGAGGCCATCCCTTCTCTGGCCACGGAGGCCATTCCTTCACCAGCCACTGAGGCAATCCCTTCTCTGGCCAAGGAGGCTATTCCTTCACTAGCCACGGAGGCCACCTTTCTCTGGCCACGGAGGCTGTCCCTTCTCCGGTCATGGAGGCCATCCCTCTTTGGTCATTGAGGCCATGCCGTCTCCGTCCCTCGCCATGGAGGCCACCTCTTCACTGGCCACTGATGCCAACCCTTCACCGGCTGCCCCTCTCTGTCCCCAGAGGCCACCCCGTCACTGGCCACAGAGGCCATCCCTTCTCTGGCCATGGAGGTCGCCTCACTCCAGCCACCCCTTCTCTAGCCACGAAGGCAATCCCTTCACCAGCCACGGAGGCCATCCCTTCTCTGGCCACGGAGGCCACCCCTCTCGATCCCTGGCCTTGGAGGCTGCCCCTCTCTGGCCACCCCTCTCCAGCCACGGAGGCCATCCCTTCACTGGCCATGGAGGCCACCCTTCCACCGGCCATGGAGGCCATCCCTCTGCATCCCTGGCCACAGAGGCCACCCCCTCTCGGGCCACCCCTCTCCAGCCACGGAGGCCACCCCTTCACTGGCCATGGAGGCCATCCCTTCTCTGGCCAAAGGAGTCACCCCTTCACTGGCCACTGAGGCCACCCCTTCACCGGCCATGGAGGCCACCCCTCCCTGGCAACCCCTTCTCCGGCCATGGAGGCCATCCCTTCACTGGCCACAGAGGCAGCCCCTCTCTGGCCACCCCTTCTCCGGCCACAGAGGCCATCCCTTCACCAGCCATGGAAGCCGTCCCTCTCCATCCCTGGCCACAGAAGTCATCCCTCTCTGGCCATCCCTTCACCAGCTATGGAGGCCACCCCTCTCCATCCCTGGCCACGAAGGCTGCCCCTCTCTGGCCACCCCTTCACCGGGCCATGGAGTCCATCCCTTCACTGGCCACTGAGGCCACCCCTTAACTGGCCACGGAGGCCATGCCCTCCCGCTCTCCAGTCACTGAGGCCGTGCCCTCTCAGTCCCCAGCCACGGAGACTGCCCCTCTCTGGCCACCCCTCCCTGGCCACGGTGGCCACCCCGTCCCTGGCCACAGAGGCCACCCTTCTCTGGCCACCCCTGTCTGGCCACGGTGGCCACCCCATCCCTGGCCACGGAAGCCATCCCCTCTCTGGCCACCCCTCCCTGGCCACGGTGGCCAC